AATAAACTTCTTAAATTGAAATTAGTAGTTTAAGTTTGTATAGCTATAAATATGATTGTTTTTCTTAACTTTTTTTTTCTACTTATTTCTTTAACTTATTTTTTTTAACTTATTCCTTTAACTTATTTCTTTAACTTATTCTTTTCTAACTTATTTCTTTTTCTAACTTATTTCTTTAACTTATTTCTTTCTTTAATTTATTTTTTTCTAACTTGTTTTTCTTTCTAACTATTTCTCTCTAGCTTATTCCTTTCTAACTTATTTCTCTTTAGCTTATTCCTCTCTAACTTGTTCTTTTTTAAACTTTTTTTTAACTTTTTTTTTTTGTCATTTTAGCTATGACAAATAAACTTTTAAGTATTTTTTTTTGTTGTTTTATTTTACTTTTAATTTTTTGTTTCATTTTTATTTATGGTTGACATTTACTAGTATCTTTATTTTCATACTTTCTCTTTTTTTGTCACGTATCAATTTAGATTAGATAAAAAATAAAATAGTTTGTAGTATAACTATATTTGTTGTAACAACTTTGACATAAAATAAAGTATAGTTTTTTTTTTTTTTTGTTTATCAAAGTATTTGAAGTTTTGTAAATAGTTTTATAATTAAAGTTAACTCCAACTTGCTTTTTAAAATTACAGTTATAGAAGTTTCATAGTACACACGTACATATATATATTGTAAAGGGCAAAAATATCCACCGGGTCTGGATAATACAACCATACACTACTAAAATATTCTAACCAGAACACCACATCTGATACAACCAAACTGTAGTGGTAAGGCAATGATCGAGGCGTAGAAAGACTTGATCCAAGTAACTAGGGTGAATTAGATTCTTAGCGATAGTATCAGATTAGAGCTCTTGATTATGTCACGAATCTTTTTATTCAGAATCACAGGATTTGGTCACGAATTCTAATCATTAACACAGATTTTATTTTATTGGGAGATTAGTAGAACAAACACTTCTACTTCAAGAGCTTAGAAGGTTTTGAACTCCGTGAACTATTCACAAGTTAAGTACTCAGATTTTTTTAACTACGAACTTTGAGCTCCCAAAAGTTGTTTTATTTCTGGAGAGAATCTCTACTTATATAATTATTTTTACTTATACAAAAATAACGCGAATTCTGATTTTTCTAGCTTTTCTAATTTGTCTTGTTATTCTGATTTTTCCTGCTATTCTAATTTTTCCTACTTTTCCTTGAATTTTCTGAATTCTAGAAATTCCAAAAATTCCAGGAATTTGTACTACCGATTACTGCAACAACAATCTTTTTTTGGATAGAGCGTTCCTGCCTTTTACAATTCTCCTGACCTTTAAGTTCAAGTTTTACGAGAACATCAAAACAATAAAGATAACCCACAAGAAATAATAAAAGTAAAACAACCAAAGACACAATAAAAGGTACTCCACATGTCACATGCCTATCAATTTCAACAACATTTCCATTTTTAAAGTAATATCTAAGATTATATGTACCATTAGTATAACTAATTCCAATTTCTGCCAGTTTTTGATAATCATTGGATGCTTTACATTTATCTTTTTCAACAATCCTATTTTGATTCAATTCGGCAAGATCATGTGTCTTATTATTCATCTTTGCAAGTATTTGATAACTAGTAGGTGCTTTATATTTATCTTTTACAGTGCCACTTCTACTGTCAATATCATTTCTCAAGGTCAGCAACATTTGATCGATCTCAATCTCTGATTTATCCCACTAATGGTTGTCTATTGCTCTCTTTTTATCATCAGGTACATTGCAATACTTTTTATAAATTTCGCATTTTGAGTTTTCATTATTACTAAAATATGCACTTGTTACATCATAGATCATATCATATTTATCTTCAATTTTGCTATCCTTTATTTTATTCTTTCTGATTCCTATTCTCTGATAATAGTGACCAGCGTTAAGTGTTCTTTTAGTAAGTTGTATCCTAGGGTTTTTTTGATAATTAATAAACACGTTATGTTTGTCTTTTCTACTCCAATTCTATCACAATATATTTCATCAGCACTACCCAAATTTCTGGGCTTTTGATAAGCAGTCGCTTTATAATTATTTTTTTCAGTTTCGATTCCATATTAAGGACAATATTTGGTAGCATAAGTTCCATTATCATCAACTTGGATTTCATTTTTATGGCTATACCTGAGATTGAAAGTTTTATGGCCAACACTATTATTACTCGTATTGGCAACTTTCTGGCAATAAAAAGATGCCTGATGTTTATTCTTTTTATCTCTAATTTCATTTTCATAGCAAAGTTTAGGGCTACTTTGTCTATCAGAATATTCACATTTAACAATATTCTCATAATATTCGAATGCCTTATAATCTTCTTTTTCAGTTTTATTTCCATTTTGAAAACAGTAACCAACTGATTTTTGACGATGTTCGAATGACTTCTTTTTATGTGAGCCCTCAGGTATAATTCTGATCTTAACTTCATTCTTTTGATTTAATTCATCAAATTTCATATTCATAACTTCACTTTTAACGGTTTTATTAATACAATCGAATTTGCGCCTGTAACCTTCCAGATCTTTATCTGCTATTTGAATATCAGGTATGTGTTCTTCGTTGTGTTCATTTCTATTGATATTCTTTTATTCACCTTACTAATGATTCTATTCTTTTTCCTTTTGTTATCATTCATTGTCAATTTACTTTTAATACACCTGATGTCTACTAATCGGTTTCTTCTTTCGTCATCATATTCTTCAATTACCATTTCATCAATTACAGGTTCTTCTAGAAGCACAAATATTGCTCTTTTAGAGCCAGACCGAATCATATAGTGACATTTTTCATTTTTTTCTATGATTCGATATTGAACTTTTATTGCCCACGACATAGAATTTTCATATTACATCTCACAGTATTTTTCACATTACATTTTACGGTATTGTTATAGAACAGTTTATTATTTTATACTATCGCTCGTTTCATTTTAATCTGATTTCATTTTAATCTGCCACAATTATTTTCGTTTTGGGCCCTTATCTGTAAATTCCCCTAAAAAAATTCATAATTTATCCGGCAATCAGTATCCGAAATCACATGTAAGCCGGCAAAATAATCCGGCTACCATTTTTTCTGGGCGACGCTAGGGTTGTTTAGTTCTTGGCCAATCGAATTTCAGGATTAGGTGTAACGTAAAAATCGAAACGAACCCACTTTTTTACAAAAAAACGTTTTACTAATAGGCGTTATATTGTTCTAACCCTAATATAACACGGTTTTCTTTGTTTTCATTTTATGCGTAACTTTTTTACTTAGAAAACAAACACGTTTGTTTTGTTGGGTCCGTATTGATTCACCGACAATCACTTAAATGATCGTTCGGTGAAATGATTGTCGGTGAAATGAAGGGATCCCGTGCATATTATCTATAAACACAAATCGATACATATAATATTACCATAGTAACTACGTACGTGTATATCAATTTTACTCTCGGCATCTCGCTAGTACATTATTTTAAACTATTACTTTTTCTTTGTATATCCAATTGATTTATAGACTAACTTGTCGTAAGATTAATTTTTCGTTTAACCAAAGTTCCATCTCAGATTGCAAATACCAATTAGGTTTTTCTTTCATTAAAAGTTTTAGGTTATTTTATACACGTATTGTTCATGTTTAATGAACGTGGTTTTTCTTAAAGTGACATACATCTATATCTCTGAAAATGCTTGAGAGTTCTTGCTAACACTTAAGTGTTTGGTAATTTTTCGAATTGATAATCCTAAAAATTTTTCGATTATTTACCAGCAAAGATGTCATATTTCTGTATTCAATAGAGATGCAGACATTTCTCAGGTTAAGGGTAGCTACCCTCATCCGGCATATAAAACTTAGGTGTTACCCACTTATAACTATGCCGTATGTTATAATGTCTGCATCTTCACAGAGATATATATGCGTATGTAGTGTACATACTGAAGTTACATTAATCTTAAATTATATATATATCAATTTGAATTTATTACCGTATAGCGCGGACCACGGCATACCGGGTATACTTTACAGAAACCTATGTTTTTGCTAAATATGTTTAAAATATAATAATAATCTGATAACAATTTCTGTTAAGTTAAT